TGAGGATGAAACTGATGCTGATGCTGCTGCTGATGCTGATGAGGATGCTGATGATGCTGTTGACCATGATGATGATTATGCTGTTGCTGATGATGATGATGCTGATGATGCTGATGCTGATGCTGATGCTAATACTGCTTATGACGATGATGAAGATGATGAACATGATGATGCTGATGATGATGATGAGGAAGAGGAGGAGGAGGAGGAAGACGAAACAGCGCAACCTCCGCGTACCTTGGCTGCCAGTCTCGAAAACATAAAGGAGTTGGGATCGGGGAAGAGGATCCAAGAGGAGGAGGGATCGAAGACGAGGGATCGGGGAGGAGGGGGAATCTGTGAGAGGGCTCCGAACTGTGGGGTGTTGTTTGGGAAAAGGGGGATGTGGATGGCCGGCTTGCACAAGTGAGTCTTGCTTGGGACACGGGGTAGTGAAGCACATACGCTTGTTTACTTGGGCGCCGAAGGTCTACACCTGTCACCACGTCTCCGCCCTGCTGCGGCAACTGCCGGCGGCAGCCAGCAGAAACTTACCTGCGGAAGGGGCGAGAGCAGAGCCCACCATCCGCGGCGAGCGTCCCCACTGGGCTCGTCGAGTTAACACTTTCACCACAGCCCCTCATCCCGAGATGCTGGCGCGCTCAGAGTGCAGAAGGCAGTATATGAACTGCAGCAGACAGGAAGGGCGGGCTCCGCGGGGCAAGTGCCGGTCGACGCGGCACAATGCGGACTTGCTTCTCGCTGGGCGGGAGGCCGCCTGGCATGCCGAACACTGTTGGTCTGCAGCGCTGGCGGTCGCCAGCGCGTCCGGGAGCCCGCCGAGCGCGCCGCACGACAGCAAACACGTGCAGGTGGAAAAGAAGAGGCGTGGAGGCGGGGAGAGGGAGGGAGGCCTCGTCCGCAAAGAGTCTGCGGCATGATGGGCTCGACGGCGGCCTCAGGCACGGGGAACCGCCGGGCGCCTGGGTGGTGGCATGCAGAACAAAAACATATACCCGAACGCGTACGCAGCAGATCGTGCCACCCAGCGCCTGGAGCACCGAGGCATCGACGTGCCCACCCAACTCCACGATGCGAGCCCTGTTCGCCCGTCCATGCATGGATGGAATGCCTGATGGTGGGCCTGGTTGCGTAGTTCTGTAGGCAACCCGCAGCTGTCAAGGGGCGCTTTGGCAGAACTCTCGCGCCGGAGCTGCGCAACACTGCCGAATCGTAAGCACAAGTCGCGCTGGACATCATCCGTTTGCCATCCACCGTAATCAAAACTCTTCCATGACTGAGCCGACGGCCGCAGGAACAACGGAGGTCTATCAGCCAGGCCTTGCGAGATAAAACAATACGCGGTACGGTTAACCTCACCTGTCAGTGCCAGGGGACTTTTTGTGCTGTCTTGTTGTTTTGGTTCCCCCCCATTTACTTTCCGCCCGACCGGTCTGGGTTCTTATGTTATGTCCGCCAGCGTTGACCCCAAACAACGTGGTGCTATCTACGTGGAACAATAGATGCGGTGTCATATGTGGAACAACATTTATGGTGTAACCCAGCAGTGCTTAATTCGAAATTGCCCACTGCACCGCTCGCGCAAACATCCCGCCAACCCACCCGCAATTTGGTTTGCAAACCCCATGCGGCGGCGATTGCGATATGTGCTTGGCGGTGGCTGGTGCATCCCTGCGGCCGCGACAACCCGCGCACGCACGCGCGCGCAGCGTCCAACTACTTTGGCGCGACCGGCGCAACCAGGGCAGCGCTGACCGCTGGGCACATCCCAGCGGGCAAATCAGTGCGAGTCGATGACGTGGGCGGGCGCGGTACCATGGCAACGTCGACAACGGTTGACACGGTGATGGTAGTAGCGATGCTGGTGACGATGTTGACAGCGACGACGGCACGGCCAGTGACGGCGCGGATGCTGTTCACGCCGACGACGATGACGGCGTCCTCGCGTCGATGATGAAGGTTTTGAAAAGCTCGACATGCGCGCCAGGCCGACGCGCGAGTGGCCCGCGTATTATCTTCTGACACGGGTCATGCCCCTCTTCAGCACGCGCGCAAGGGCGCGCGAATGATTTCGGCATGCGGCGCCAGAGGCCCATTTGGCAGAATGCCATGCAAGTGATGATATGAAGCTGGGGGTTTCTTGAGAAGTCGCAAGAGCGCGAGCGCAGGCTTCTTTGAACACTGGTATTGCGAAACCTTTTGGACATTCGGTTTTGAAGCCGTTGCGAAACCGAAAGTTGTTGGCGGATATCGGCCTGCGCGCGCGACGGCACGCGCGCAAAGGCGTTCGAACGATTTCGACATGCGCGCGCGCGAAGACCGTTTGGTAGCATTTTCTGGAAACGATTGAACTCCTGGGGCTTTCTCAAGAATTCGCAAGACGCGCGCGCAAGTTTTTTGAGGAAGGCCGTGTTGCAAAACCATGTGGTTTACATGTTGCTTTCGGACATTCGATTTTGAAGCCGCCACGGAGCCACGGAAGTGCGCGCGTGCGCACTTCGTCATATTTTTCCAAAAAGGGGTTCCTGAAAACTGATGATTTTGGAAACTGATGATTTTGGATAAGCGAGTGCCCGAGCATAGTATTTGTTGCGAAGGATGGGGGGGGGAGAGGGCAGACACCAGCTCGGCTGAGATGGTATGAGTGCATATTCAGGATGGACGATGGGCAAAATCAGTTGTAAATTTCAACACGAAAAGGGAAACGGATAATCCCTGGGAGGGTAGAGTTCCTCTTTTTAGAAAGGAGAACTTACCTTGTCGAACCTGAAGTTGTCGACCCCACTGCTCGCGCAATCATCCCTCCTACCCACCCACAATTTGGTTTGCAAGCCCCATGCGGCGGCGATTGCGATGAGTGCTTGGCATTGGCTGGTGCATCTCTGCGGCCGCGCAGGCCCGCGCATGCTCGCGCGCACAGCGGCCAACTTGTTTAGCGTGACCGGCGCGGCCGCGGTGGCGCTGACCGCTTGGCACTTCCCAGCGGGCACTTCAGTGCGAGTCGGTGTCTTGGGCGAGAGCGGTATCATGGCAACGTCGACGACGGTAAACAACACGATGATGATAGAAGCGCTGTTGACGATGTCGGCAGCGTCGACGGTATGGCCAATGACGGCGCCGATGCTGATCACGCCGACGACGATGACGGGGTCCTCGCGTCGGTGATGAAGGCTTTGGAAGGAGTTCGACACCACGCGCGCGCGGCCGACGCGCAAGTGTGGCCCGCATGTTTGTGCTCCCCTTCAGCACGCGCGCAAGGGAGTTCGAATGAGTTTGGCATGCGGCGCCAGAGGCCCGCTTGGCAGAATCCCATGGAATTGTTGAAAAAAAAGGCTACGATTTTCGTAAGAATTCGCAAGAGCGCGAGCGCAAGCTTCTTTGAACACTGGTGTTGCGAAACCATGTGTTTCGAATGTTTGTTGGACACTCGGTTTTGAACTCGCTACGACACACAAGGTTTTTGACTGATTTCGGCATGCGCGCGCGGCGACGCGCGCGTGCACTCCGTCCCATTTCTTGAATGTAACAACGCTCGGTTCCGGAAATCCGCCCTGCCGATGAACCGTTAAATCGGTGAAAACGTATGGGTTGATCGGTCGGCGAGCCGATCGACCGAAAAACTGAAATATAGCTAAATTTGTTTTCGGTGTATCGGACGGTCGACCGATAAACCGATATGTCGGCCGCGTGCGCGGGAGCGCCGGCCGATCGAGTTATCGGTTTATTGGTTCACCGGTGTGTCGGTTGATTCGAGGCCGACGCTCGGCGTAATGCCTGGAAGTGCATCGTTTCGCCGCGTAGCGGTGATTCGGTTTATCGGTTTGTCGGCTTACCCTTTGCAATCTCAGGGAGGGGCGCTGCCGAGAAGCACGGTCGCCCGCGCTGCCACCAGCGCGGCCGCCAACACGACAACCGGCACAATCGCCATCACGACCACCAGCACGACCAACACCGCGCACATCAACGCAGGCCGTGCGCGACGAGCAGTGCGACGCGACCACCAGCTGCGCGACGAGCAGTGCGACCAGCAGCCACGACCACCGACACGATCTTTGACACGAGCCGCCAGCGCGACCACCACCGAGCGTAGTTCATTGTCTGCACGCAAACCGCGAATCAAGGGGGGCGCCGCCAGGAGCCACGGTCACGAGCGCGACCACCAACGCGACCGTCAACGCGACTGTCGGCGCGGTTACCATTGCGATCACCAGCGAGACCGCCAACGCGACGACCACCAGCGCGATCACCAGCACGACCCCCAGCATCGCGACCACCAACGCGCGTCCGCATTTGGATGCATCACAAACCGCAGGCGCGATCACCAGCACAACCAACCAATGCGATAACCAACGCTGACACCAGCTCAGCGCGGGCGACGTAGTTCATCGAGCGCAATTGCGAGGGGAGCGCTGCTGCGCGTCGGATTCCTATTTCGCTGAACTGCGACGCTGGGGCGCCAGCCAAAATGGCAACAGAACAACGGAAGGAAAACAACGGAGGGAGAAACGGAAGAGGAGGAGGGAGTTCGGCTCGCCTCTGGGCCGCCGTCCCGTATTTCAGGTCGCCCCCGAGGCCGCCCGTCCTGTATTCCAGTTCGCCACGGAGGCCCCCGGAGGCCGCCGTCCTGTATTTCAGTTCGCCCCTGCAGCCCCCGGGGGCCGCCGTCCTGTATTTCAGTTCGCCCCTGAGCCCCCTTCTGGGGACGCCGTCCTGCTTTTCACGAGGGGAAGGGGGCAGGGGGGAGACAGTCCAGACCGATGCTGTCTTGGTCCGTCGCGCGGCACTTTGTATCCGTCCTGCCCAGGCGTGTGGCACTTTATAGATGAGATGTCATGCCCAGACGTGTGGCACTGTGTCCGTTCCGCGCAAGACTTTATTTCGAGATGCCCATCGGGATCGCATGGCAAGGCACGGCAAAACCTCGGAACTCTCATCCGGGATAGCATGGCATAGCAGGGCAAGGCCTCGGAACGATCATCGGGATACCATGGCATACCACATCATAGCAAGGCCTTCGCACGCCCAGCGGGACAGCATAGCATGGCAAGGCCTTGGAGTGCTCATAGCATAGCTTAGCATCGCCTACGCTGTATGGTAAGTAAGTCGGAAGCCTCGCGTGTGTTCATTCCCGCCCCCGGGGCCACCGTCCTGTACTTCAGTTCGCCCCTGAGGCCGCCGTCCTGTACTTCAGTTCGCCCCCGAGGCCCCCCTGAGGCCGCCGTCCTGCATCTCACCTCGACTCTGAAGCTCCCGGACACCGCCGTCCTGTACTGCAGGTCGCCCCCGAGGCCCCCTTGAGGCCGCCGACCCGCATCTCACCTCGACTCTGAAGCTCCCGGACACCGCCGTCCTGTGCTGTAGGTCGCCCCCGAGGCCCCCCTGAGGCCGCCGTCCTGTACTGCCGTTCGCCCCCGAGGCCCGCCGGGGGGCACCGTCCTGCATCTCAGCTCGCCCCCCCACGGCGCCCGCTGGTGCCCGCCGTCCTGCAATGCAGTTCGCTCCGGCGCAAGAGCCAAGGGGAGGGCATAAAATCCACCCCGATAATAACCACCCCGACACGCGAGGCCTATAGTAAACGCTCCCAAAGAAGGAAGCGAACAGGGCAGGGCTGCTTAGGAAACGCCCAGGGCCGTTTAGTAAACGCCAACTGTCCGGTCCGGGTGGTCTTTCCTCCCTTGAGCCAAGGCGAGGAGGAGAGGAGGAACTCCCCTGAGCGTGGGGGGGCGACGGGGCAGGGAGGGGACAGTCCAGACCGAGGCTGTCCTGGTCCGACGCTCGGCACCCTACACTTTGAAAAAAAGGGGCCCAAGAGAAACCCATGAGGGCAGAGAGCCCCGCGAGAATGGCACCCGGGATGGTGGCCTTGGGGAGGGGCCAAAAGGCTCCAAGACGCCTCCAAGAGGACCCCAAGAGGGGCCCAAGAACGCACCGGGAGGTTTCCAAGAGAGGCCCAAGGAAGCACTTCCCGATCCAAAGATACTATTCTGCCTTCTCCTCTTCCTCCCTGTCCCCGCCCCCCTCCTCCTCCTCCTGGTAGTCGTCCTCATAGCCTCGTGTCCTCAGGGGGGCGGCACGCGCAAGAGAGCACCTAACGTAAAGGAAACGGGCCCTGAGGGAAATGGGATCGCGGACACCAAGGGCTTCCTCCATGACCAGCTCTTCACCCTGAATCGTTTTTTGACAATCCATTGGCCCGCCGGGCCCTGGAGCAACCTGAATCGTTTCTTGGCGATTCCTGGGCCCGCTGAAGGCCCCGAAATCCGAAAATGAAAAAAATCTGCAGGACCCAGGACCCCTCTCAACACATGGGGTCTTGAGCAAGGGATTGTATCAATTCACCGGGGGACGTTCGACTTTACTGGGGAATATGTCACACTCCACGCCGAGCGACCCGCTGAAGAAAGGACGCGGGCAGGACGAAGGAGAAGGGGGGATACATAATGACACTTTGATGAAGTAAGATGGACACTCGTTGCTGAAGCGACAGCAAGCGGGCGTCATCTGCGATCCACCGTCTCAGCCCAATATTCAGACGATGCGCGAGGAGACCGAAGAAGGGGGGTAGGAGGGAGGCGAACGGACGATGAAGGTTGACGAGGGAAACGTCAGGAGCGACCAGGAGGACCGCCTCCCGCCGCTCTTCCCCCGCCCCCCAGCCTCGTTGAAGGCAGCCAAAACCCTGCAGCTGCCTTGCCAGGTACCGGTTTCATGGATCTCGCCCCTCCCCTCTCGCCGGCCGAGACGACGGCGCGCCGCTGGTGCAAAAGCTGCCCCCGGACCCCTGACGGGGCCCACGCGCGCCGAATTTTTGGATCTGCGTCTGGCCGCGGCGACTGGGGAACCCCCGACGGCAAAAACATCGCACCTCGGTCTGCGATCCATGGCGAGATGATGACAAAGTGATGTCGTCGACAACTGTTCGACGGCCCGAGGCAACTCCCGCCGCCCAACCGCGCGGACAAAGCGGCGCAGCTGCCGCCGCGCAGCCGCGCCCGAACGGGCAAACAAAGGGCCGGGCAATTCTCGCCACCGAACCGCGCGGGCAAAGCTGCGCAGCTTCCGCCGCGCAACCGCGCCCGAACGAGCGAGCAAAATGGCCCGGCAACTCTCGCCGCCCAGCCGCGCGGGCAAGGCCGCGCAACTCCCGCCGCACAACCGCGCCCGACGGGCGCGCTGCAGGCCGCGCAGCTCCCGCCGGCGCAAACCACTGGGATGCTCTGGTCGTCGCTCGCAGCGCCAGTTCGCTGGATTCCAGCAGGGCCCTGGCCGCTCCAACCTGCCTGCGTCTCTGGTGAAGCGCATGGGGCATCGAGTAGCCTCGATTCCCTCCTCGCAACGCACCGCATTGGACGTCCGACTTCTGACGTCGGCGAGAAGGGAGGTCTTGTCGAGCAGCCTCCACGCGCGAAGGATTGGACCAGTGAGCTGATGAGCGGCGCCCCCCTGGAAAACCGCATCCTCGCAAACTCCGAACATAAAATCCTCCTCCTCCTCCTCCTCCTCCTCCTCCTCCTCCTCCCCAGACCCCCTCGAGCCCGGGGGCGGGCCGGAGAGCTGCCCCACTCGCACCGAACAGTGCCGTTCCAGTCCCACCGCACGATGCGCTGGAGCAGCGCGTCCCGGCTCAGGCCGCCGCGGATTTGGGCTACGAGCGCGGCCGACGCAAGCGTAGCCTCCACGAGGTTGCCGCAACTGTTGGCGTTCGTGCAGGCGGCAGCGTATGCGTAATCTCCGTCGAAGTCCCCATGCGGGCCAAGCTGAAGCATCCACCGCCATGCGACGCAATAGGATCTGCTCCCCCAATCGATGTCTTCTATGGCGCCAAAGTGCGACAGCAAGCGCCGCGTGCGTTCGGTCTGGCAGGTCAAGGCGTTAGGAGTCGGATGCGGGGCGTTAAGAACCGGTTTGGAGCGCTAGCGCTCCGAATAAACCGCAAAAGCAAACAACGGTCAACCAATAACTAGAGAATACAAGGCTGAAGCGTATGATTCGGGCGTAGAGCTTGATATTAGGGTGTCAGGGTTAGTGTTACAGTGTTGGGGTTGTGAATTTTGGGTCGGGGTGAGGTTCTGAAGGCTGGGCCATGGCCACGCACCGAACCAGCAATCGCAAATTGCGCAGGCCGAGGTGTTAGGGTGGTGCCCTTAGGGCTAAGGCATAGTTGCGCATCGAATGCACAGGCAAGCAGATACATCGATAATGGTGAGGTTCTCAGTGCTGGAGTATGGCCACGCACCGAATAGACCGGTGGGCCGATGCACGCAACTGCGCAGGCCGAGGTGGTAGGGCGGTGTCCACAGGGCCGGGGTACAGCTACGCACCGAATGCACCGATCAACCGATTAACCATTAGACGCAGGCAGTCATCACCGAAAACCCAACGCGGGAGCGAGGACGGGTTTACCAGTTCGCGCGATCATCGACCGTTAAGCCGATCAAAAAGATGGGTTCATCGGTCGACGAACCGATACACCGATAAACCAATACATGATTTCGGCTTATCGGTATCGTGTTTTTTGACGTCGCTCTGCGGTTGCAACCGATTGTTTTGCGCAAGATTCTCGCAACGGCACGCGCGCAAGGTCGTTCGAACGATTTCGACACGAGCGCGCGAAGCCCGTTTGGTAGCATTTTCTGAGACTCATGAACAACCTAAGGTTTCCTCAAGAACTCACAAGAGCAGACATCTTTTTTTCGAGAAAATCTGCGTTGCGAAACCTATACTTTTATGTGTGTTTTTTGGACGCTCGATTCTGACATCCTCACGAAACCACAGGTTTTTGAAAGATTTCGGCACGCGCGCGCGACAACGCGGGCGTGTGCACGTTGTCATTTCTTCCAAGGGGTTCTTGAAACCTGGTGATTGTTGATAAACGAATGCGCGCGCATGTTTTTTGTTGTCAGGGGATGGCGGGGGGGGAGCGGAGACCGTCTGGGTTGGGATGGTTTGAATTCATATTTGAGGTGGACGATGTGGCAAAGTCGTATGTAAACTGCACATCCCAAGGGGGGAATGATAAGTCCGGCCCTGGGAGGGTGGGGGAGTCTATTTTTTCATAGCGAAATCGACGTCGTGCCATTTATAGTGTGCACTATCTGGTGTGCAATGTGCGATGTGCAAGCTGTGTTGTGCAATCTATGTGTTGCAACATACGTGGTGCAATCCATGTGGCGCAACTGATGTGGAGCAATATATGTGGTTTAATCTCGGTGGGGCAACCTATGTGGTGCAATCTACATGGAGCCACCTGGGTGGCGGCGACGGGGTGGCGACGGCGACAACATAACCGCCAGACCGCCATGCCGGCCTGGACGACACCAAGAGGCGGCGACGGCGACAACATAGACGCCATCTCATTATTAGCTGGGAGAAGAAAGCCGGACAGTACCCCACGTGGCGAACATGAGTGTGAAACTGATATCCGCCGCGACGACGGCGACGACGACGACGACGACGACGACGACGACTACACTCGCGACAACCTTCGCGGTTCCAATCGCGATTACAACCGCAACCACTGACTCCTATTGCGATCCTCGCGAGAAGAGGCTCACGCATCCTCTCGCGTGTAAGGTGGCACACACACACAATTGCTTATTCCCCTGGGGACCATCAGCCCCCCAATATTACCCAGCCCGCCCATCAACAGAGGGTCAGTAGTCTCTGCCGCGACGACGATGAGACAAGGAGGAGGAAGAGGAGGTGCAGGAGGAGGAGGAGGAGGAGAAGGAGGAGGCGGGGTGAGTTTGTTCCCCGCCGCGAGAAACAGGGGGAAGAGACACTAAAGACTTACGGAGGTGATCTGTTCCACTGCGTACTCCTACTCTTCCCTGATTAGGGTGCTCATTTCGCCTGGCGATCGCTTCTGGTTGGGCTGGCTGGGCATGCGCGAAACGTCAAGAGCGATTCGCCTCACCTTCGCCCCTCCCTCCCCCATGCAGTCCACCTCCCAGACCCAGCCCGTCACGTTCGTTCGCAGCTGGTCCCTCGGCTCGAGCGTCGAGTCATCCCAGACCTCGCCCGTCCCGCGACATCGCAGCCGCACCCTCGGCCCGAGCGCCGAGTCATCCCAGCCGTTCCTTGAAGACCTGCGCCTGGGGCCCCACCCCTCGACGAATCCAGGAGCTCGGGTGGACTTCGCCCGCTGACTCGACCATGGCCACTTCCGACCCAGACTCCCTGGCTTCCACGAAGCACGCGGACGTCACGAAAAACACCGCGGTGCCGGGTATTGCCGTAGCTCGGGCCACCGGAGCCGTGTTTCGGGCCCCGCGGATCCCAGATGAGTAGCTCGTCACTGGACGCACAACTCCTCGTCTCTCGTCTCTCTCCCTGCTTTCCCCCCTTCCTTGTTTCTTGCGTCCAGGGCAGTCTTCTACAGGCGTCTAGCGACCCACTGGGAAACTGGCGAGATAGAGCGAGACGAATCCGGGGAAGACGGCGCCTCCTCCTGCTCCTCCTCCTCCTCCTCCTCCTCCTCCTCCTCCTCCTCCTCCTCCTCCTCCCCCTCCTCCTCCTCCCCCTCCTCCTCCTCCTCCTCCTCCTCCTCCTCCTCCTCCTTCCCCGCCCAATCTAAGCCCGTGCTATTTTCCAACACGCATGCCAACGATTCGGCCCCCGGGGCCTCGTTAGGACAACTTGCTGAAGTGGCAGCGGCATGCGAGCACAGCAGAGGTGCCCTGCCTGCCATGTCCTCAGGGGCCTCCCTGTCGCGGGCAGCCCTCGCCAGAACTCCGACGACATCACCCCCAGGAGCCCGAGACGGCTCGCAACCCCAACGAGACACAGAACGAGAAGCTGCAGCAGCTAGGAAGGAGGAGGAGGCAGGCAGGCAGGAGGAGGTCGCCTCCCCTTGAATCCCCGCAGGTGGCCCGACACGAACTCGCCGCCGACGTGCCCCCGCACCTGCGGAGAGGGAGGCGGCGGGCGGGCCGGGCAGCATCCGACACCTCTGCCAACCCTCGAGAATCACACCGGCTGGGTGAGCATGCGCAGAAGACGCGAGCCAAGGACGGGCGGTAAGGACGCATGACCCTTGGAGGCCGAAGGTTGGGACTCGTGGGGCGGCGGACCGCCGGAACCACAGGGGCGCAAGGGGCACCCTGACCCGCAAAGGGGCCGCAGGGGCGAGGACGCAAGGGGGTACCTCAGAATGAAGGGGCCCTGGGACACACAAGTAAATAGACACAAATACCCGGATTCCCAATCTGTTCACCTATTTTCAGAGTTCTTGCCTTCCCTCCCCACTTCCCATATTGGGCGCCCGAGTTATCCGGGGTAACTCGGGTCCGGGGTAACTCGGGTTCGGATTCCCGAAAAACGAACCCGAGTTATCCCTGACCCGAGTTACCCCTGATGATTCGGGGCTCTGACCATAGTTTCCCACATGTTCCTGGGAATCGACAGTCAATCGTGTCTGCGTGCTTTGTTCCCCTCCTGGTAGAAGAGGCGCGCGCCCTCACTGTGCGCGTTGGCTGTCGCCCGCCGGAGGTCCGCGCGGCCCTCCCTGGGTCGGGGCGGGAGGCCTCCTCTTAGTGGGCCCTGGAAAGGACAGGGCCGTTTTTTTACCGGTTCCATTTTGCCGTTTTCTTGTCGTTTCCGACGCCGTTTTTTACCGGTTCCGTCGCCGTTTTTTGACCGGTTCCGGCTCCGGTTCCAATCCTGGAGCCGTTGCTTTGCTGTTTCTGGTCGCCGTTTTTTGGCCGCTTCCATTTTCAAGGATAACTTTCTCGGAAATTTCCGAGAAAGTTATCCTTGAAAATGGTGAAACGTTTTCTGAGAAAGGCAGGGCCTTTTTTTCACCGTTAACGGTGAAAAAACTGCCCTGCCTTTTCCGGGGCCCACTAAGGGCCTCCTCCGCCCCCCCCCCCCGGCGCGAGACCACGGGGGGGGGGGCGGCGCCGGGCCGAGCACGCCGCGTGGACCTCGGAGGCCGCGGGCGCGTCGCCCCCGCGGCTTGGCACGGGCAGGGAGGAACAGCAGGAGGAGGGAGGAGGAGGAGGAAGAGGAGGCGGAGGCGGAGGCGGAGGAGGAGGAGGAGGAGGAGGAGGAGGAGGAGGAGGAGGAGGAGGAGGAGGAGGAGGAGAGGAGGAGGAGGAGGAGGAGGAGGAGGAGGAGGAGAGAGAAGGAGGAGGGAGGGAGGAGACGAAGGAGGTGGGGGGGCATGCGGACCAACGGGCCACTTGTAGCTGGTGCCACCTCCATTGAGTTTCTGCGCTTTTCCCGCCCAAAAGCGCAGTGTTTACGATCCCCGGAGATATCTGTTTAGCAACAACATTCGATTGATTGATTGTCGGCGGCTCTTACCGGGCGACATCCATCAGCACGAAAAGCAACGCGCGCGGGGGCCTGGCGCAGTCCTTTTGCTTCAAAAGCCTTGAACCTGACGAATTCTATAACAACACCGGAGAATCCGAACGAATAGTTGGGGAGCACCGCGCAACAACTCCCCGCGGCTCCAAACATGTCAAATGGGAACCGACTGGAAACACACGAAACCGTAAGGAAGCCCGTTACCAAATGGATCCCGTAACAATCCATAAGTCTGGGGCGGAGTCTGGAGCGGATCTCTTGCGCGCGGTATCCAAATTCTGAATCATGGTTCTCCTTTAATCAGGAGTCATGTGGAAGCATTGAGACTCTAGTAGGAATCCTACGGTAGTCTTGCAGTGAGGGCATTTGACAGGGAATCATTGGATAAGAAGCTCAGGGTCTGGACGCCTTTGGAACGCTAGCTGGCCCCTGGCTACGGGTATCACCGCCGCACTCATCAGATAAGGACCCCCCAAGATCTGAAGCCTCCTGGGCACACTCCTGAACGAAGGCCCCATCGCGATTCGGACTCCAATGGAGGCGTTCAAACTCCGATGGGAATCCTATGGCCGTCCTGCTGGAGTCCTGCGGCGTTCGTGCAGGACCAGTTATGAGTTATGGAGCTCCTGTGGATGGCCTGTAGGGCCCCATAGGGAAAGGTCCCCCAGACTACTGCGCCAACAATTGTGAAAGGCAAAACGGGGTGGGGGCGGGAGGCCGTTCAAGGGGGGGAGAGACGTCGACCTGCCATCGGCGACACATCGCCAGTAGCGCGGAAACAAGCTCTGGGTGGCGAACCCGCACGACCATGGGCAGGGCGGTGTGCTGGCGATCTCGTGCGTCGTGTATCACTCTGGCCCACCGAGCGGCCGTCAGGCACCTCCCCCCCGCCCGCCCCCCCACCCCTCCCCCGCATTCGCATCTCACCTTACCTCTACAAGCGGGATCGCCCAAAAGGATACTCCGACCGCGCGACAGCCCGCGCCCCCCCCTCCTCCGCCGGAAAGCCTGCCACACTTGCCGAGGGACCCCCCCCATTCTCACCCCCCAAAGTGCTTCCCAGGACGGCCTCCAGAACACCTCCCCAGTTGGCTGCAGATGCCTCCCTAGGCTGACCAGGGCGGCCTGGTGGGGCGGCAAGGCAGACCACTGCCGCCCCGTAACGTGCCAAGCGGGCCACAAGATGGCTCCCCGTACATGTGGGCACCAGGCAAAGACCCTCACCCTCCTCCTCCTCGTCCTCTCGGACTCAAGCGAGATGCATCAACGACAACTCCAAAGTCGGTGCCCAGACCCCTCCCGGGGTCCAAACGCACAACTTCACCGAGCTGCGTTCAGCCGTGGCAGCGAGGCCCAGCTGCCGACGGCCACCTATCGTTGTCTCAACTCGACCTCCATCCCTTTTCCCTGTGAGCAGTTCCTCCCTTTCGCATGCCGAGGCCAGTCGAAAGGGCGGGCTGTGCGCTTCGCCCGAAGACTTCCCCACCATCTGATCGCTCTTGAAGAATGAACCTCGCCTTAGCGCCGCGCGCATCCAGTTAACACATTGCAAGAGCTTCACGGATGGAGGGCAGGCCGTTTTCAAAAAAAAAATGGCTCTCGACCCAGCGCCGCGCGCACTCATGGAGGGCGGCTCCGTTTTCATGTGTGGCTCTTGCCCGAAGGCCGCGCACATCCGTTGTAAGAGCTAAGGAAATGTTCAAGGAATGTCATAATTGACGCGTCAACCATGGTGTTTCGGCGCGAAGTCGGATTGTCAGGGCGCAGCAGTTACGTTGACTCATCGCGTCGAAATCCCAGGACGGGTGTTCTGGCACGACTCGGGACCGTCAAGGCACGACAGTAACGGTGATTCGCGGCACTGAAGTCCCAGGAGTAGCGATCTGGCGCAATTCACGGTTATCTTCCAACGGGACGCTTCCTTCAGAGAACATGAAACCTGGGATGGGCCTATGAATGGCAAGCTTGGAGGGAGGGTTGATTGCAGTGTCGTTGGTGACTCTTGGGGTTGCAGTGATCTGATCCTCCCCTCCTCCTCCTCCTCCTCCTCCTCCTCCTCCTCCCCTCTTCCCTCTTCCTGCCCCCCCCTGACTTCGGATCCGCCGTACTTTGGGCGACATCGAAAGCAAGGCGGGAATTCCCGCGCTATTTTCCAGGATCCTTTGATATCGATTCCCGCCCTACTTTGCAATCGCTGGTTCCGCCATGCCTTTGAGGAGATGGCAATTCCTCTTGCGTCTTCGCATCGTTCGGGGTGGGTCGTCAGATTAAACACGAAAGTATCCCGGCAAAGCAACCTAACAGCTATGTGTATAAGCGTACCTGGAAGTATTACCCTTAAGTTTCAGGTGAGAATCCAGTTGTAGAATTCTGCTGTTCTCGCAATCGCAGTCGCATTCGCAATGACAGTCGCAGTGGCAACGGCCTTCGGATCCAATGGAATCCTAAGGATTCCGAGGGATTCCTAAGGCATCCTTAGGCATCCTTAGGAAACCATAGGAATCCTTCGGAAACCTTAGGACTCCTTAGGAATCATGATTCCTGGGGATTCCTAGGGATTCCGAAGGATTCCTGGGGAATCCTAAGGATTCCTTAGGGTTCCTGAGGATGCTTAACTATGCCTACGGATTCCTAAGGATGCCTACGGATTCCTAAGGATTCCCATGGATTCCTAAGGATTCCTGTGGATTCCAACGGATGCCTCAGCCTGCCTCAGTTTCAGCCTCAGCCTTAGCCTGCCTCGGCTTGCCTCAGCCTCAGCCTCAGCCTGCCTCGGCCTCAGCCTCAGCCTGCCTCAGCCTCAGCCTCAGCCTGCCTCGGCCTCAGCCTGCGTCAGCCTCAGCCTCTGCCTGCCTCAGCCTCCTCAGCCTCAGCCTCAGCCTCAGCCTCAGCCTCAGCCTCAGCCTCAGCCTCAGCCTCAGCCTCAGCCTCAGCCTGCCTCGGCCTCAGCCTGCCTCGGCCTCAGCCTGCCTCAGCCTCCCCTCCTCCCCCCCCCCCCTTCCCCCCTCCCCTTCAGCCTCACCTTGTCTCAGCTTCGGCCTGCCTCGGCCTCATCCTCAGACTCAGCCTCAGTCTCAGCCTCAGTCTCGGCCAGCCTGCCTCGGCCTCAGCCTCAGCCTCTGCCTCAGCCTCAGCCCTCAGCCTCAGCCTGCCTCGGCATCAGCCTCAGCCTCAGCCTCGGCCTGCCTCGGCCTGCCTCGGCCTCAGCCTCAGCCTGCCTAGGCCTCAGCCTCAGCCTCAGCCTGCCTCAGCCTCAGCCTCAGCCTGCCTCAGCCTCAGCCTGCATCAGCCTCAGCCTCATCAGCCTGCCTCAGCCGCAGCCTGCCTCAGCCTCAGCCTCAGCCTCAGCCTCAGCAGCCTGCCTCAGCCTCAGCCTCAGCCTCAGCCTGCCTCGGCTTGCCTCAGCCTCAGCCTCAGGCTGCCTCGGCCTCAGCCTCAGCCTGCCTCAGCCTCAGCGTCAGCCTCTCAGCCTCAGCCTGCATCAGCCTCAGCCTCAGCCTCAGCCTGCCTCAGCCTCAGCCTCAGCCTGCCTCAGCCTCGGCCAGCCTCAGCCTCAGCCTCAGCCTGCCTCGGCCTCAGCCTGCGTCAGCCTCAGCGTCAGCCTGCCTCAGCCTTAGCCTGCCTCAGCCTCAGCCTCAGCCTGCCTCGGCGTGCCTCAGCCTCAGCCTCAGCCTCAGCCTGCCTCAGCTCGGGCATTCAAAACATGGCACAGGACGGGTGTTTTGGGAACACGAAGATCACGAAGTGGCCTACAGTTGGCTCCGGGCATTCAAAATATGGCACAGGAATGGTGTTCTGGGTGGCCTACGGTTGGCTCTGGGCATTCAAAATGTGGCCTGGGAATGGTGTTCTGGGAACACGAAGAACACGAAGTGGCCTACAGTTGGCTCCGGGCATTCAAAATGTGGCCTGGGAATTGTGTTCTGGGAACACGAAGAACACGAAGTGGCCTACAGTTGGCTCCAGGCATTCAAAATGTGGCCTGGGACTGGTGTTCTGGGAACACGAAGAACACGAAGTGGCCTACAGTTGGCTCCGGGCATTCAAACTGTGGCCTGGGAATGGTGTTCTGTTGGCTCTGGGCAGTCAAAATGTGGCCTGGGACAAAATTTTGGGGAGTCCCCGGTTTTCCCTGGCATCCCCCGGATCCTGCCCAGACCCCCCTGGGGACTTTCTTTTGACCCCACTAGAAACCTATCAGTCTTCGCTGTTAAGTAAAAAACAAACCTCCCGGCCCGCCCACCCTGCACACCGAGGCCGCCAGATCCACCGAGAATTCCCCGTGGCCCCCGGCTCGCGCCGACCCCTCCAACTCTGCAGAGCACGGCCGGCAGATCCCCAGGTTTCACCGAGAACCCACCGAGACCCCCGCCTCGCCACCTCGACGCATACGACAGAAACTTAAATACCTGATCATAACATTCCGAATCATACCAGACCACCATATAGCGCAACATATTATAGCAACACATACTTGAATACCATTGTATACGACATGAACACAGGCCATAACGTAACACTGCATCGCAGGCCATATCATTAAATATCATGACGATGCATACCATGCCATGACGCGGCATAACAAATTGCAACATCGCGGGACATCGCAAACCATACTACAATAGCAGGACATTTCATCACACATCATGGCAGTGCAGATATACCACGACGCATCGCAGTAACACGCGCAATGGCAGAGCGGTGTAGACATAACATAGCATCATACAACATTTCGCCACAAGTCGTAGCATCACATCAACTTAATGCCACATCATGCCATACTATGACATGTCAAAACATAGCATGACAGAAACGAGGAACTACCACAGCACAGCATCACATAACCGACCATCTTATACCATGCAAGCGTACCATGAGAGAGCGCGTCATAAAATCATGTAAGGCAGCACGCCATACCAAAGCCAAACTGCCGAAGCAGAACAACCAACGCCAAAGCATAGTATGGCAGAACACATCACAAACTAATAACGCATGCAATGACAGAACGGTGCATTCCGAACAGAGCATAAAACCATATATCATACCATGCCAGCGCAAGACATACCAGAACACACACTTACAATACATGGCATACCATGACCGCGACATGACAACACAACTCATAAACTAGTACACCATCACAACACGTAGCAGTCTAACCTTTTACACATAACACCATGGCAGAGCGTGGCATTCCATACTATGACACATCATAATAAAGCATCGCGTAACAGACCATAGCATTACACGCCATGGCGGAACACGGCATGACATAATTCAAGAAACAACCTAAACTCACATCATGAGAAGGATACACATAAACCAACATCACATACCATTCAAGTTATACGACTGTTGCCACTGAAGCAACGGGTTTCATATATTGTCATAGGGCAGAACTTCATGTAAGAAGTAGGTCATGCCAGAACGAATCGGAATCCACTTCGATGAACTGGCTACCGCGCGAACTCCGTCACTGCGCAGGGCACAACATAACACAACCTGACATATTGTTTCATGCCATAACGTGCGGCCGCCGAGCAAATCAAATTATACCAGAACAAAATATACGATTGAACAATCGCAAAGAACATACCATGTTTTGACAGATGTGCCCATACCGTGACAGAGCTGCGCATTCCGTACTGTTAGGTGATCAAACGCGACGTGGGCGACGAGGTCAAGCTGGCCACAGGAGCCAACAGGCGCAGCAAGGACCGATTGAACGACGTATCTAACGTGACGGGCGGCAGGGCATCACGTTGGCCCGTCGAGAGGAGATCAGGACAGAACAGAACATTACTACCTGGAACACAACTTTTGTACACAACAACGACAATGTTGAAGAGGGAGATCACGGCATAACAGACACTAGCATGCAATCACACCGCAGACCGTAATAGACCATGCTAACCTGAGCAGACCGTCGACCGCATCACTGAACATATCAGAGTGCACCATAACCTGGCCGAGCACATCAAGTTATAATATGCAGCCACAGGGCAGAGCATACTAACGCACAGTATCCTGTGAGAGAGGTGCGCCTAACATAATATACTTTTACAGACGAGGGAATGATAAGTGTAGGGGAACGTCATATTGCAGTATATATCGCATGAGCATGCAATCAAACGCGACGTGCGTCCCGAAGTCAGGCTTGCCACAGGAACTAGCAGGCGCAACAACGACCCACTGGACGACGTATCTGACGTGACATGCGTCACGACGCCACGCCAGCCCGTCGAGAACAGAACAGGGCATAAGAGAGCGTATCCTGTCAGAACATAGTACCTGGAACATGACTGATTACTATTGTATACAGCAGCGAGAATATCCTAGATGAGCATCGCGGCATAACGTAGCTTAGCATGTCATAAAATAGCAGAGCAGGCCATTGTATGCATTCATGTGCTGAGTATGCCGCCGACAGCTCCTCTCAGCATAGCATCGTAGAACATGTAACCTGGCAGCACAGACAATGTCATACCATGGTGTGAAAGAGCAGGGCACATCATAATACATGTCATATCATACTCTGGCATTGTTGGGCATCGCAGGTCATACGTCAGCAGAAGAGATAACGACAAGCTAAGACTAACTCCTGCTCCTCCTCCTCCTGCTGCTGCTCCTTCTCTTCCTACAGGCTGATGATTCTCTCCGGTCAAGACTTTGGGTCTCGCACTACGCGTCTTGGGGGTTGGTTTTCACCCCAGGGCTTGTTTCGGTTTCTTTCGTCTGTGGCCCTGGGGCTGTTAGAACTGAAAACAACGGCGGCTTGCGACCTGGCCTGACCGCCGCGCAGGCCGAGACCACCAGGCCCCGCGCGCACCGTTCCAGTAGGCGCGCGCTCCGTCGGGAACAAGCGCCGAACATTTTGGTAAAGATCGCGCGAAGCAGAGTCATCCAACTCGGAACATCAACCACACGCCAGGGCCAGGGGGGCTCAGGCGCCGATCCGAGAAGTCCGCGCGGACCTCTGGAAGTTGATGTTTCTGTCGCGGTTCGTTCCCCGATCCAGGCCGCTGCCTCGCCTCGTCTCGCCTCCTCTCCCCTCCCTCCCTCCCCGGTCCCCGCCCCGAGGGGCTCGCGGCAAGGCGCGCCACGGCGCCCGGCGCGGGCTTGCCCGATAGGTCGGCCACCGCGCTCACGACGACGTCCCGGGCGAGCGGGGACCTCTGCGCAGCGCGGGCGCCGCCGCCCGCGGGCGGCCGCCCCAGACCGCAGGCCGCCGCCACGCCGCCGCCACTCCGCCGCCGCCGACGGCGACGACGGCGGCGAGGCCGACGCCGACGACGGCGACGACGGCGCCGACGACGCCGACGACGCCGACGACGCCGAAGACGCCGCCGCCGAAGACGGCGGCAACGCCGCCGCCGCCGACGTGGCTGGCAACGCCGACGCCGTCGGCGCGGTCGCCCTGCGGCGCCCGAGCGCGGGGCAGGGCGGCCGCGGAGCAGATGGGCGTGCCGTGCGGGCCTCCTCTGCTCCGGCGCCTGCGGGGGGAGGGAGGGAGGGAGGGAGGGAGGGAGGGAGGGAGGGAGGAGGAGGAGGAGGAGGAGGAGGAGGGAGGAGGGGGCAGGGAGGAGGAGCAGGAGGAACCCGTGCAGCTCTAACCATACAGCAAGTAATATCTCAAACAGCATGACAAACGCCTGAATACAGCCCAAACGAACAACAAAACACCGCAAGCTAGCCAATCTCACCCCAAGCCGGCCAAAAGGCCCCCAAGCGGGTTCCAAGACTGCCCAGCCTCCAGACGCTCCAGGAGGGCCCCAAGAGAGCCAGAAGATGGACTCAAGACGGCCCAAAGGGGCCCCAAAATAAGGCCCAAGTTCACAGCGGGTCTGTGTGCCTCGCTGAACTGCCGCGGGGTGTGAACTCGACCTCTTTTCCTACCGCGCAGACCCAGTCAAGGTCGAGCTCGCGACCCGCTCCAGTCCCGTTTCTTACCGCCTGCACGAGAACGAGCTCGAGTTCACGCACGCCCCAACTACGAACTCGACATCCTTCCTGCCGCGCGAACGAAGACGAGGTCGAGCTCACGGTACGCCTCAGTTCAGACAGCTCGCTGAAGTGAGACGTGAACTCGGCCTCCTACCACGCAGACGAAAACAACGACTACGACACGCCTGGATTCAGACATCTCGCCGATCTGCTGTAGGGCGTGAACCCAGTATCCCCCCTATCGCACGGACTACGACGAGGTCGAATGTGTGGCCCGCTTCAGTCCGGACCACTCGGCGCAATCAAATGATACCTGAATTAAAGCTCATTCCTGCAAAGCTGTTGCGCAGGAAAAGGTTGCGGGGTCTGCCGCGGGCAGCTGGATCTGCACGAACAGTGAGGAGGAATGGTAACGAACATCGCAAGGGAAATGTGCACCCCCTCCCTCCACGCCTACTGTTTCTCGTCCGCCAGATCCTGCTCCTCCTGCTGCTCCTCCTCCCCATCATTTGGCATCACTCGCGTTTTGGTTTCGGACACTGGGACCACGGCAGTGCTCGATTTACTAATTCGTGGAAGTGCGTGTGGAAAGCATTGCTCTTGGTGCCGGCGTCTTCTTCACAAAGGCTTCGGCGGGAACTCTTGCTCAGCGTGTCGTGGCGGCGGCCCTGGCGACGCGCGAATCATCCCCTGCAAGCGGGTGGCGTGTCGCTCCGCCCCGCGGGACGCGAGGCTTGGAACGGCTCCGGACATTGACGCCCGGAGACCGGGAATGGGGTTAGCGTGTCGTGCCGAGGCGTGGCAAGCCAGCAGCAGCGGCGCGACACGCGATGCAAACGCTCCCGACCGTACGCATGCGGTCATGCCTGCGGCTGGTGGGCGCCGCGGCCCCCCATCCCGTGTGCATGCCGTGGGGCTGCCGCAGCGCAGCAGGCGCACACGACGAGAGACCCTGCCGCGAGGCAGCTCCACGGGGGCTGCTTCGGACGGGCCAGGGCGGGCGGCAGGCGCGGCCGCCCACGCCCAGCGTGGAGCCCCCCTAGTCGGGCGCCTGGGGAAGCACGCCCCTGGTCGAGCCCCCTGGTCGGGCATCCAGGAAGCTCCAAGGGCACACTCGCCGTCCACCACCCATCGGCTACACGCAAGAGTGACCCTGGGTAAGAGTGACCTTTGGTGCGCGGCTTTCTGGGGGCCGGGGGGGGGCCAAACCCGGGCGCGCAAGCCGCCGTTCCTGCTTCGTTTTCAGCCATCTGGGGACCCATCTGTGCCCGCACCAAAGATCACTCCGGCGAAAGGTCACTCTGACGTCTAGTCGAACCCAGGCGGTCCCAGGGCTTCAGTGGCTGCCTCCCGGGCCTTAGGGGGGGAGACATGACATATGGTGGCGCACGCAGGCTGGCAGGCCGGCTTCGTACCAGGTGCGGCCTCGTGTGGTCTGGCATGCGGAGATGCTGCAGAAGGAGCATGGTCGCGGGAGTCGGCAGGAGATGTGTGTGTGGGCAGCCTCTTGGCATGGACCCCTCCGTCCACCGACTACTGATGAGAATCAAGCGTGTTTGGGTCTTCGCTGAGCTCGTCGCGGCGTCGTCGCCGTCGTGTTTCTGATCGTCATCTTCCTGATGCTGCAGCTCCTCCTCTAGCGCGATCCGAAACCAATTGAGGCAGCGCGTGAAGCTCTCCCTTGCAGCGGGTGGAACCCACCTTCTCGGGGACTTGTCGTGATTGTCTCGTCATCGACGTAGTCGTCCTCGCGCTCCTCCTCCTCCTTCTCGCCTTCGCGAGCTGCGGCTGCTGCTGCTGCTGATGATCCTCCTCCTCCTCCTCCTCCTCCTCCTCCTCCTCCTCCTCCTCCTCCCCACCTCCTGCCCCCTCCTCCTCCCCCTCCTCCTCCTCCCCCCTCCTCCTCCTCCTCCTCCTCCTCCTCACCTCCTCCTCCTCCTCCTCCTCCTCCTCCTCCTCCTCCTCCTCCTCCTCCTCCTCCTCCTCCTCCCCCTCCCCCTCCCCCGACGCGGGCCGGATCTGTTTCCAGTCGCGCATCAGGCTATCCCCGGCAGCGCGCGGAAGGCCCACGCTCCGACGCGGCCTCGGCCCCCGCAGGGCGGCCACGGCCCACAGCGTGTTCGCCATGTCCTGGCAGTTGAAGAGCTTGTGCTTGGCCAGCGCTTCGCGGATGGAGGGCGATCCCGGGCGAAGCAACGCCGAGTCCCACGAGGCGGGTTGCCGACGGCCCCCCTGGGACGACGACGGCTCGAGAGGGGAGGGGAGCATGGGTGGATGGGGTAGCGGGAGAAGAGGGAGAAGGGGCTATTCTGACCGCGTTGGTACCCATCTCGGATCGAACCGCTTGGGATCGAGCTGGAGTTCAGGCATGGCTCCGCCCAGACTATCTGGAATAGAGGCCTTTGGGCCGAGTGGAAGGATCGGATCGCCTGATCGTGCGGTCCAGCCATTTCGACCCGATTCCGCGCGCGCGAGCGCGGGCGAGGGGGGGGAGGGTTGCGAGATGCTTATTCATCCCTTCCCTCTCTCCGACTATTCTTCCCTTCTCCTCCTCCTCCTCCTCCTCATCCGCCGCCGCCCTCCTTCTCCTCTCCAGGGCCACGCGCGGTAACCAACGCATTGGCGACGACTCAGACGATGACGACGACAAAGCCACATCCGCTCAAAACGGGTCCCTGGACTCCTCCAAGATCCACATGAGAGGCCTCCTAGAAGGGGTCGGAGGATCCCGCCGCATCGCCGATGCATCGGCGATGCATCGCCGATGCATTGGCGATGCACCGGCGACGTCCACGATGCATCGGTGGCGCCGGCGTGGCGAAAGTCGGGCCCCGCGTCGAGCCGTATCGTCGATGCATCGGCGATGCGGCGCAATCCTCCGACCCCCTCTACTCGGACCCCACCTGGGAGGCCTCGACACATGTGAATTCTGGCTCGGCGCCTGACTTTCCCGAGGACCGCAGCTGGCCACACCCGAGGCCGACACATCGAGCAGCAGCGTCCGGCGCGAGATGTGGCTCGATCCTCGGCCCCCCCGCACCCACAGACCAGTGTGATGCCACGCGGCCACTTCCGCTCGCTCGGGACTGCCCCCGCTGAGCCGCCGGACGAGCTCGGGGTGCTGGCCGTGCTGGTCAGACGCGAGCGACCACAGCGTGCTCGCGACGTCCTGCCGGCATCTGCTCGATGCGTCGTCGTCATCGTCGTCGTCGTCGTCGTGCTCGTGTTCGTCGTCGTCGTCGTCGTGAGCGTCGTGAGTGAGCGCCGTCGTCCTCGGCGTCGGCGTCGTCGTCGCCCCCCTCATTCTCCTCCCCCTCCTCCTGCTCCTACCTCGCCAGTTTCTCGTCCACCTCCTCCGCCTCCTTTTTGAACTGATCCTCCTCCTCCTCCTCCTCCTCCTCTTCCTATTCCCCCACCTCCTCTCTCTCCTGCTTCAGCCGCTCCAACTGCTGCTCGTCGTCGTCGTCGTCGCCCTCCTCCTCCTCCTCCTCCTCCTCCTCATCATCCAGCTTGAGCTGTTTCTTTTCCCTGCTCCTCTTCCCAGTTCCCCTCCTCGACCTGCTGCTGCTCCTCCTCCTCCTCCTCCTCCTCCTCCTTCTCCTCCTCCTCCTCCTCCTCCTCCTCCTCCTTCTATTCCTTCTGTTTTGCCTTCCTTATGTTTCCCCTTGCCATTTCCGCCCCGACTCATTCTACGCATTCCTCCTGCCAACCTCTCCTCGTCATCCTCCCCGTCCTACATCTGCTCTCCCCCCTTTGTCGTCCCCCCATTCTTCCCATGGTTGGGGCTGAGCATAAGCCGTGGCCCGCCGCACGAATAGCGATGACACCTCCGTGCCGATCAGATGCCGCAGCACCCACCTCCTCCTCTTCCTCATCCTCCTCCTCCTCCTCCTCCTCCTCCTCCCTCCTCCTCCTCCTCCTCCTCTCCCTCCTCGTGCTCCCCCTCCTCCCCCTCCTCCTCCTCCCCTCCTCCTCCTCCCCCTCTCCTCCTCCTCCTCCTCCTCCTCCTCTCCTCCTCCTCCTCCTCCCTCCTCCTCCTCCTCCTCCTCCTCTCCTCCTCCTCCTCCTCCTCCTCCTCCTCCTCCCTCTCCTCCTCCTCCTCATCCTCATCCTCATCCTGCTCCTCCTCCTCCTCCTCTCTTCATGCTCCCATCCTCCTCCCCTCCTCATCCTCCCACTCCTACCCCCGTGGGGCGAGTGGCGCTTTGTGAGATGCAGACTTGGCCGGCATAAAAACTGAACATGCGACGTACCCGACGCAGCTGCATCCCGCGACTGGGGCGGTTGGCCTGCACTGGATGATGGCCACACGGACCGCTGTCTGTTGCGCCGACTACTTGGGGTGCGCGCGCGATGCGCGGCTGGCAGGACACCGAAGGAGGAGGAGGAAGAGGAGAGGAGGAGGAGGAGGAGGGAGGAGGAGGAGGAGGAGGAGGAGGAGGAGGAGGAGGAGGAGGAGATGGTGGGAAGACTACAATTGAGGTAGACGGATGAGAAAGGAGGATGGCGATTTTCTCAAGTGGCTCGCTGCTGCACAGCGGAGCCGCAGCGATGCCGCTCTGGCGCCCCGAATGGTGAGCTGTTCTCAGCTGGTGCAGGAAACGAGCGAAGCCCAACTCGCCCACCACCCTGTCCGTGTCCAACCTCCAGCGGGGGCCCCAGCAACCTTCGAACGTGTCGGCTGTTTCGGAAATCGCAACCGCCCAGGGGTGGCGAGGTCTTGCCCGAATCAGCATGAGGCGTCACTCCGCAGGACCACCTAGCAGGACTCGACCGTGGCTGCAGTTTTGCAATTTCCCCCCCTCCACCCAAGTGATGACGAAATCTGATCTGAATCTGCGGTAAGACATCACTCCGCTGGACCCCCCAGCGGCCCGCGAGCGTGCACACACTTTCACAGGTCTCAGCTCCACAGGCATGGCGAGGTCTAACCTGTATCTGCGGTAAGACGTCACCCTGCCGGACTCCCCAGCAGCCCTTGAACGTGGCGACAAATTTGCAGTTCACAGCCTGCCGATTGATGTTGAAGTCTAAGCTGAGTCCGCTGTAAGACGTCACTCCACGGGACCCCCCAGCAGTCCTTGAAAGTGGCGGCAAATGTGCAATGCCCCCCGTGGGATGGCGATATCGATTCTGAGTCCGCGGCGGGGCGTCACTCCTAGTCCGAGTCCGCGGCGGGGCGTCAATCCGCTGGACCCCCCAAGAAGCACGCGAGCGTAGCGACAGTTTCGCAGCGCGCAGCCCCCGAGGGACGGCGAGTTATAATGAAAGTCCGCTGCGGGGCGCCACCCCGCTGCAGCGACCGCAGCTTCGCAATTCACACCCCCTGGCACGGCGGGGTAAGGCGCCACTTCAGTTTCGCGGCAAGACGTCGTTTCAGTTTCGCAATTCGCATCCCCCCTCCCTCCCATCAGGGATGGCAACGTCTAATCAGAAAATGGGGTAAGACGTCACCCCGCTGACCCCGCCAGCAGCCCTCGAAAGTGGTGGCTGTTTCATAGTTCGCAGCCCCAGAGGGGTGGTGAGGTCCTATATGAATGTGTGGTGAGACGTCACTGGGCTGGGCCCCCCCAGCAGCCCTCGAACGTGCAGACAATTTCGCACTTCGCAGCCCGCCCAAGGATGGTGAGGTCCAATCAGGATGTGGGGTAATACGTCACTGGGCTGGACCATCCAGCAGCCCTCGAAATTGACGATAACTTTGTAGCTCACAACCCGCCGATGGATGGCGAGGGATGTCACTCCGAGGAATCCGCCAACAATCCTAGAACGTGGCGACAGCTTCGCAGTCCGCAGCCCCCGAAGCATGGCGAGGTCTAATCTAAATATGCGGGCAGGCGTTGCTTCGCTGGACTCCCCAGCAGCCCTCGCATGGGCGACAGTGTCGCAGTTCGCAGCCCACAGGGATGGCGAGGTCTAAGCTGAATCCGAAATGAGACGTCACTCCGCTGACCCCCCAGCAGCCCTCGAAAGTGGCGACAGTGTCGCAGTTCGCAGCCCCCAGGGATGGCGAGGTCTAAGCTGAATCCGAAGTAAGACGTCACTCCGCTGAACCCCCAGCAGCCCTCGCATGGGCGACAGTGTCGCAGTTCGCAGCCCCCAGGGATGGCGAGGTCTAAGCTGAATCCGAAGTAAGACGTCACTCCGCTGACCCCCCAGCAGCCCTCGAAAGTGGCGACAGTGTCGCAGTTCGCAGCCCCCAGGGATGGCGAGGTCTGATCTGAATATGCGGTGGGTCGTTCTTCCGCTGGACTCCCAAGCAGCCCTCGAAAGTGGTAACAATTTCGCAGCTCGCAGCCCCCCTGGCTGCGAGGCCTAATCTGAATATGCGGTAAGACGTCACTCCGCTGACCCCCCCAACAGCCCTCGAAACTTCCGACAGTTTTGCGGTTTGCAACCCCAAACCCCCGGGATGACGTGGTAGGCGGCGCGGCGAGTAGGCGGCATGCAGAAAGTAGGAAAGAGGAGACAGGAGAAGATGAGTAGGAGGTAGTAGGAAGAGAAGAGGAGAGACGAGGAAGGAGGAACGATCAGGCGGCAGGCGGGAGGAGGAAGACTGGAGACCACGATGCTCTCTTCGAAGCAAAACCCCAACGTCGGGTTGGGAAAAAAGCTTCGGGTCGCGCTAGGGCCCCACATTCTCAGGCCAGACCCTCAGGATAGCAGTGAGCCGCTAGGATAGGTCAACCCCAAACCCCTGTTGTCCGGTTGTACCGTACACCGCCGTACGCACGGCAACAACACATCGCATCTGAAAAGCGCGGCAAGCACGGATGGCCAATCAGTCTGGCGAATGCCCACTTCTGCATCCAACGCCGCGCTGACAGCATGGTCAGCCCGATGATTGTAATTCTGGAGGCTCTGCTTCTCTCACTCCTCCACGGGAGGAGGACGACAATGACGATGACGACGATGGCAAAGAGAAGAACTAGGCGGAGGAGGAAGAAGAGGAGGGAGGAATACTGAATTGGACCTCTTCTGGTCGCGCGTGGACTCGCTTACATGGTAGCAGTGGAGGAGGGGGCAAATGCGTCGCGCCAAGCGGACCTAACGCGTCCCCAACGCGTCCGCTGGGGTGCTTCTGCAGTGCCGCGTGCACGGCCCCAATGCTCTCTCTGCTGCATTGCCATTCCAACTGCAGTCACCATGCTGCCACCAGGAATCCTTGAATACTCCAGAATTCGTAATAAAAGGGAGGGGGTCTGGATCCTCCAAGACAAGCCATTTCAGACCTCCCCAGACCCCCCCAGGCCCTCCAAGATAGCCTGGAAGAGACCCCCCCCGAAATGAGACCCCCCTCCCTTTATTACGAAATCTGGAGTATGGAACGACGGGGCGTCCCTGGCCCCGGCGAACCTCGGCTACGAAGCGGCTCCCCGAGCTGCAGGTAGGAGGCACGGCCCGAACACCCGAGCCCATCCTGCACCCAGAGGGGCCCTTGCGGTCGCGGGCGCTTGCTCAGCGTGTCGCCGCGGCGGCCCCGGCGACACGCCGTGCCTCACAGGCGGGCAGCGCGTCGCTCCGCCCCGCGGGGCAGGAAGCTCCGAGGAGGCTCGGCACCTCGAGGCCTGAGGAGGAGGAGGAGGAGGAGGAGGAGGAGGAGGAGGAGGAGGGGGAGGAGGAGGAGGAGGAGGAGGAGGAGGACCGAGATGTGGCCAGCGTGTCGCGCCAGGGCGCGGTGGGCCAGCACCCGCGGCGCGGCACGCGAAGCGAACCTTCCCGACCGCCTCCCCCCCAAACCTTGCCCCCTGGTTTTCGGGCCAGAGCTCCGCTCCCGGGCGGCCGCTCGGGAAGGTCCGGGGAGACCCCCAGAACATCCTCGACGCGGCGCATCCGCTGCACGGCGCCCCGAGGTTGAGAAACCGACGAGAGCCTAGGGAAACTCCCGAAAGCCTCGAGCCTCGAGAGCCCGAACCTCAAGCGTCTTGGCTGCAGTGTTGTCTTCGTGCTGGTGGAGGACGAGGAGGAGAATGAGCAGCAGGAGGAGGAGCAGCAGGAGGAGGCTGGGGACGAGGAGGTGGATGAACCAGGCCCGAGGACCCAGCGCTGCCAGCTGGCGGCCCGGGGGGGCCTGCCTGGGCGTTGAAGCGGTCGATCTTCAGCGCCGCCTGCGCCAGCAGGGCTTCCGTGAACCCCGCCTGCTGGGCCCTCATGGCGGTCAGCGACCAGAGCACGTTGGCGAGCCCTCGACGGCGTGCCGCTGAGGGGGGAAGTGAGAGGGGACAGGCCTTCTCAGCAGGCGGCGGGGCTTCTCAGAAGCCCTCTGGCTTTTCTGAGAAGCCCCCGGCGGCCACGGAGAAGGCTTAGAAGGCGGTCTAGAAGACCGAGCGCACTCTGAGCCCTCTGAGAAGGCCCGCCCCCCGTGCCTTCCCCCCCGGGCGCACCGCTGGCCTTGGGGCGTGAAGTCTGCGACGTGCAGCGCTGCCTGGGCGGCTCGGGATACAACCGGACCACGGACAAGAACACGTACTTCAAGAACGTGAGACTCTCCGCCGGCCAAGCCGAAGAACACTCGAGGGCACCCTTCCCATGGATGTACTGGGACATCGAGCAGACACGAAGAACATGAGGGCACCCTCCCCGAGCCGACCTCGACCTTGTACCTCGGTCCGGCCGTGCCTTTGCCGCGACGCCTGGCCGTGCGCCGGCAGCGCTGCGACCGAGGGCATGCTGGCCCGATAGGCCTGGGCCGACTTGGCGTACCCGGCCAGGGTCTCGCGCAGACGCCGATCTTCGCACAACCCTCTCGAGATGCATGGCGTTCTCTATGCTTGTTGAGGGGCAGCGAGGGAGGGGGGTCACCCCGATCAATGCAACTGCCCTCGCCGACCGCCGCCTCTCACATCTCCGCAGCGCTGCTCTGTGGAGCGAGTCCGGAACGAGAGCAAGCAGGCAACAGAGCGGCCACTCGCTGTCCGAAACACGAGGGCCTAAACAGCCGAGGAAATGGAGGAGGAAGAGGAGGAGGAGGAGTAGGAGGAGAAGAGGAGGAGGAAGAGGAAGAGGAAGAGGAGGAGGAGGAGGAGGAAGAGGAGGAGGAGAAGGAGGAGGAGGAGGAGGAGGGGGTGGGTGGTGGTCACTGCATTGGGGAAACAAGTCCCGAGCAGAGCAACACGCACCACGACCACGCCGATGCCGATGACGACGACGACGACGACGACGACGACGACGACGGAAACGAGGCGTGCAGACGACCCGCACCGAAGCACGGATTCGGGAAAGGGCCCACCCTGCAGGTTCGGTTAAACAGCACATCGTTCAGCGGTGCTGCAGCCTCCCCTGGGCACAGACCCACCCAGAGCATCAGCCAGACAAGTCGGGTTTGCACCCTCATGCCTTGCTGGCCTCCCCCAACCTCGTCAGGGCCACCGACAAGGGAGCGGTGGCAGACGCGTCCCTGACCTAAGAAACTCAAACCGCCGCGGCTAACATAATCGGGAGCACAGACAGACAGACACACCGACGGACGAACGGACAGCCAGGCGGCGTGCAATGCCTGGCCGTCCAAGTGGTTGGTCACTGCAATAGGGAAACAAGTTCCGAGCAGAGCAACACGCACCACGACCACGACGACGCCGACAACAACGACCACGACGACGGAGGAGGAGGAGGGAGGAGGGGGAGGAGGAGGGGGAGGAGGAGGAGGAGGAGGAGGAGAAGGAGGAGGAGGCGGAGGAGGAGGAGGAGGAAGAGGAAGGAGGAGGGAGGAGGAGGAGGAGTAGGAGGAAGAAAAGGAATAATAGGAGGCGGAGGAGGAGGCGGAGGAGGTGGAGGAAGAGGAGGAGGACGAGGAGGGAGGAGGGAGGAGGGAAGAGGGGAGGGAGGGAGATGGAGGGAGGAGATGGAGGGAGGAGGGAGAAATGAGGAGGTAGGAGGGACACTGGAGGAAGGAGGATGCAAGGACACGGGAGGAGGAAGGAGGGAGGCGGGAGAACTGAGGAGGGAGGAGGAGGGAGGAGGGCGGAGGGCTGAGGGAGGAGGGAGGGAGAAGGGAGGGAGGAGGGGGGAGGGAGGAACGGGAGGAGGGAGGAGGGAGGAAAAGGGGAAGAAAGGAGGAGGAAGGAGGGAGAAGGGAGCAGGGAGGAGAAAGATGAACAGGAGGAGCAGGAGCAGGAAAAGGAGGAGAAGAATGAGGATGAGGATGAGGATGAGGATGAGGATGAGGAGGAGGGAGGAGGAAGAAGAGGAGGGAGGAAGAGGAAGAGGAGGGAGAGGGAGAAGGGAGCAAGGAGGAGCATGAGGAACAGGAGGAGGAAACGGAGGAGGCGAATGAGGAGGAGGAGGAGGAGGAGGAGGAGGAAGGGGGAGCAGGGAGGAAGATAAAGAGGAGCAGGAGAAGCAGGAGGAGGAAACGGAGGAGGACAATGAGGAGGAGAGAGCAGGAGGGAGGAGGGAGGAGGAAGAAGAGGAGGACCAGGGCGACCAATGTAAACCCAAGAGGCGTCAACAATGTGGGAATACACCCTCCCTCCAAGCTCCCTCTTCACAGGCCCCATACAGCGGTTCAGGGAGCTGCCTCGTTTGAAGACAACCGTTTGAAGACCCTGAAGCATGCCAAAACATTGTTCTCACGATTCCAACGCCACGGATCAACCTGACTGTTGCGCTTTGACGATCCTGAATCGCGCCAGAACGCCATCCGTGGGACTTCAACACCGCGAATGAACGTAACTGTTGCATCCCCGTAACCCAGAACCCGTTTAAAACACAATTGTTGGTACTTTGATCATGGGATTCCGTAAAACGCTTGCACATTTTATGAACGACTGTGCGCTAAACAGAGGACCACATTTTAAAAAGGAGCCACCCTGAATCCGTGAAGCCCTTGCAATGTTTGAAAACGAATGTGCACGGTGCTAAAGCGGGAAACACCATTTGAAAACGCGCTCCCTTCAATCCGTGACACTCTTGAATTTGTTGAAACGCGCCCGGCACTATAGCGAGAACCACAGTTTGAAAATCACCCGCCCTCAATCCGTGAAGCTCTTACAATTTTTTTTAAAAAAAAACGAATGTGCGCGGCGCTAAGGCGAGAGCCACATTTTGGAAACCACCCGCCCTCCATATGTGAAGCTGTTGCCAATGTTGAAGTTTCAGGGAAGTCTCAAGCAAACAGGCCCTGTCCGCCCTAAAAACTGGCCTCGGGGTGCGACAGGGAGAAGTTATTTAGAAGGAAAAAGAATGGAAGAGAAGGAGGACAAGTGATGGAAGAGGAGGAGGAGGGAAGAGGAGGAGGAGGAGGAGGGAGGAGGTGGAGGGAGGAGGAGGAGGAGGAGGAAGAGGCGGAGGCGGAGACCGAGGAGGACGAGAAGGAGGAGGAAAGAGGGAGGAGAGAGGAGTAGAAAGAGGAGAGAGGAGGAGGAGGGGAGGAGGAGGAGGAAGGAGGAAGGGAGGAGGGGGAGGAGGGAGGAGGGGGGGGGAGGAGGGAGAAAGAGGGAGGCGGGAGGAGGGAGGAAGAGGGAGGAGGGAGGAGGGAGGAAGGAGGGAGGAGGCAGGACGGAGGAGGGAGACGGGAGGAGGGAGAACGCGGAGGAGGCGGAGGAGGTGGAGGGGGCGGAAAAGGAGGAGGGAGGAGGGAGGAGTAGAGATTTGTTCAGGCCTCTGATTGCCTCTCTTGGAACTGTGAGATGTAAACTCAGCTTCAGAGATTGAAGATATATGTTTGATCCTTCGCCCTGGGGCTCAAGTCGAGGAACCAACGTTGGTAGCGTTTGATGTGCTATCGCTGTCTCCAGCCGGCCTTCTGCCGCGCCAGCGCGCGCCGCCGCCGCCAGGAGGAGACGTGCATCACCACCTCCAGCGAGACCACCGGGAGTTTCTCAGATGTCCGAACGGCCACCACGACAAGCAGGCCAGAGATGACCAGAACGACTCAATTCGCGCGCAGTGCAACTTCCTTGCCGAGGCAGAGGTTCAGTTTATCTATCTTCTTTCTTCTTCGAGGAGCTCCCTGTACGGTGGCTCATGATGGTGGTGGTTATGCCTCTGAACCGGGCCTTCCCTTGGACAACTTCACCAAGAGTGGTCCGCCCGGCTGGAGAGCAGGAATGCCAAAGTATCCTGTTCGCAAATCTATTGTGCTCCTTCGCCTCTGGTGGCGCCAGACGGATGTCGGGGAGAGCGCCTGTGGACCGGACATGGCTGACCGCCTCCGAGGTGCAGGGTTCTAGATCGCCGACAGTGACGCGGCTATGCGCCTCGACATGTCCACAGGCATGATCTGAGAGATGATCGGTGATGGGTTGTTGGCCCAACCAAGTCAAAATTTTGGCAGAACGCAGCAGGTGAAGCATTCCCAGCAGAGCCTGCAGGAGCGACGGTGATGCTCAATGCGTTGCAGAGAGAGAGGGAGAGAGAGAGAGAGAGAGTACGGCATGCAAGAGCAGAAAATTGATATCCAGTCCCTAGACGCGTTCTTCATGCATCATCGTGGCAGCCTCAGCTTGTCATATTATCAAACGATGGGGAGAATGACGTATGACGAAGCCCACCAGAACTTAGGCCTGGAGATCAACGACATCGGGAAGTCATACCTACTCCTGCGTACTTCAGCCCTCTCGGATCGACTGAAGGACGATTTCAAGCTAAAGATGGATGGCAACTTGGCGCGCTTCGAAGACTTGATGACACTACTCCAGCGGATGGCCACTGCTAAGACAAGCACCGGCCCGAGCATTCCCGAGATGGTCAAACAACAATGGCGAAATTCTAAATGGTATGACGACAGCTGGTATTCTGACGGGTAATATGATGACTATGACACCTACTGTGAAGGTGATTGGTGGAATGGTGACAGTGAAAGGTCTCATGAGGATTTGTCACAACATATCCTGGCAACAAATGGAACAGAAACGGCACCAACAACATTAGCTACGTCATGACCCTAGGACGACTACTACGGCAAAGATAAGAAAGGCAAAAGGAACAGCTCCAGCAGTGGAAAGGGTGGTGACGGTTGTACGTTGTGTGGCTCCAAGTTGCATCGGAACTCTGATTGTCCATTGAATCGTCCCGACCCACCGAAAGGAAAAGGAAATGGTTCAACTTCACACTATCGAAAAGGATATGTCGAAGACGGTGGCAAGCATCGTTCATCCTCCAAAGGTCGTGGTACGTATCGCTCATCCTCCAAAGGTCGTGGCAAAAAACACAAAGAATTCAATCAAAGGTAAGCGGCGGAAAGGAGGATTCGATGGAGACTGCGATGATGACGAAAACCACGACTACGACTACGCAGGCTCAGGGTTCGGATATGGTTCGGGATCTCCAGCGCGCATGAACTACAACTGGTTCTTTTGGAGCACAAGGGGCTCGATCCCAAAGACCATCATCTTCACGGAGCAGTATCATGACCATTCTCCTGACCCTCCTGAGTTTCATGAGATCCAGTTGCCCACTCCAGAAACATCGCAGCTCAGTGGGAGATCTCACTCCTCTGAATTTGTTGGAATCTTGCCAGAGATGGTGCCAAGATCGCCAGAGACATGTGTTACGAAGATCAAGTCCTCCACAATGTTCGACATATGAGGAAAGAACTATTACTGAGGAGATCGATGAGGCGAAACGTTTCTATCCTCAGGAAGAGCAGGAGTATATTATCACGGGCAGCACTCCAAAGGACGACGACATCAGCAACGCGAAGACTAAGCGACCATCTTCATGACCAACAGCGACGACAACACATACTGACATATGCACCTGTTTCGTGGTCGTGAGATGGCAGGGATCATCGTGGATCCTGGAGCTGCTGCCGGACTCATGGGCACATGTACGATGAGGACTACGTTCGATCATACTTGAAAGACGCTGGCCTAGAGTATACCCTGGCACCCAGTAGCAGCACAAACTCAGGCATCGACGGCAACGCAGATCCAGAACTCGCAGTGGTCACGATGCTTCTCGGACTTCCTGGAGTCAAGGGCATCGCGTTCAAGGACGACATGATGGGAGGAAGCAGCTCGAAGTGCCCTGGCCTTCTTCCTCTACCCTCGCCTCTGGAATATCATGCAGCACTGTTTTGTGACATTTGAGAACAGCATGATGGAGATTTGGTCTTGAAGGTAAGGAACAGCCACCAAATGATCAAGGCGTACTTTATCAGAGTATGCTTCACGGACAGTGGCCAGTACCTCTTTAGAGATACGCAATATTGAGCATCATAACCTTGAAGAAGCAAAGCCGAAGGCAGCGGTCAAACGATATTGCAGCAGCATCTTCAGGTCACTGGACGACGGTGATGCACCGCAGGTTCAGCTTCAGGCCTCGAGAACAGGAAGCAGAAACACTCCAGCTCGCAAGACATCTCCGACTACGATTCCCGAGATATCGTTGTTACCTTCTTGCGGCTGGCCCAGCTCCAGCACGCTACCAAAATTCTTCGACCTGGCGAAAGAACATCGCTATGCGGATATCGGAGATTGTTGGCCACGTCATCTTCAGGATGTTCGCCGCTGACTGGCAAACGAATATCGCGCACTGCCGGAGGAGTTCCACACGTTCATCGACTGCGCGATCATCACGCCCGAGAATATTCACTTGGTCAAGTACAATCTTTCTTGCTGTCATAGCGTCCCGCCTCTGGGTTTTTTGGAGACCATGAGTGGCTCAGGCAGGCTTTCGGCAATGGCAGCTGCTATGGGTCTCTCGATTCAGTTTCCAGTGGGTTACCAATGCAGATGGGAGTTCAGGACCCCTCAGCGCCAGAAGCTTCTCGACTCTTGTCTGCAGAAGCTCGGTATGCAGGTGCACTTCTGGTCGCCGAGGTGCTCGCCGTGGTCAGAGCAGTCGAATCAGACGACGCTGGAGAAACGAGAACGGACACGGTCGATAGAGACACCCGCTCTGGAATGGTATTCCTCTCGCGTCGATGCCGATTTACATCAAGGAGATGCTTCGATCGTAGAGAACTCACGCTCGCCAGCAATATACTCCAAGAGCCCTCGTCAGAAATAGTTGGGCTCCTCCAGCCAGCGACATCACTCTGACCAGCGCCAGTTCGGTGCGGTCGACGGGACAGGACTGTCCATGAAGAAGCCGACGGCCCTACTGACAAAAAGGAATCCATCTGGAACGCTCTGTGAAACACTGAGGTGGTGACAACAAGTGTTCAAAGCATGGAGTGTTGCAAGGACGTGCTGGACCTCTCCATCGTGCAGATCTTGCCGCGGTATATCCTTGGGCAGTATTTCTGGCACTCTTGCTGGATGTATCAGTACATGTCCATAGCATTGCAGCTGGCACCCTTATCAAGAAGAACCCCGAGACGTTCGACCCGAACAATACATCTGTTATTGGATTGACATGTGAGCGCTGTAAGCATGGAGCTCCAATTACTCAGGACGACGGCAGTACTAAGCCGACACCGCCGCATACTCGTACAAAAGGTTGTCGCTTCATTCCTGACCGAGTTGGAATACCACCAGGAGGAGTTCCAGCAGCAAGAGATGCAGCTCCCGCCGCATCAGCGAGCCCAGCCTCAGCATCGGCTCCTCCAGAAGAGCCTCCACCAAGACTGGCCTGATCTGGCAGCCCGCTACTGCAAGAGCCTGGAACCCTTGTCAGGGGCATCCCCACCAGAGCCGCCCGCACAGCCAGTCGCAGAGCCTCCCGCGTATGCAGCTGAAGATCTACCTCCACCTCTGCCACCAGCTGACGACCTTCCTCGACCTCCTCGGCGTCGGCTCGCCAAAAAAGTGGGGATCCGAAGGCTACCGAGCCAGCCGAGGACGCGAAGGTGGCTGAGCTTCCAGACTACATCGAGCCGAGCTTTGACTCAAGCAAGATACGAGGAAAGTTGAAGAACCCAGAAGTCACGACGAGCGAGAAGGAGTGGATCATTCTCGGTCGCCATATCAAGTTCTGGCATTCACCACGGGATGTTATGTTACGCTTCCTTCGTCGCGGAGGCTTCGGCAAAGAAGTGCTTGCGATTGTGGTGGCAGTGATTCCATCAACGTGTAAGGACTGTACGAAGTGGCGACGACATCCTACTCGGCCTCAGCATGGAGCTACGACAAGTCCACATTCCAATTTCGAGTGCAGACGGACTTGTGGTTTATCTGGGATTTGACTTGCCTGATCTTTGTTGACGAATGCAGCTACGCGCCCACTACGAGACTTGTTCGGAAAACGGCAGACGAATGGATGGGCGCAGCATTCAATGCATGGGTCAAGTATTGCGGACCGATGTGCTGGCTTGCTTCAGATCGGGAAGGAGCTGCGATATCTGACTTGGCCTCCAAGGCATGCGAACACTTCTCGATCAACAGGGACCTTGGAGGTAGTCAAAGACACACTGCAGCTCCGAAGGCTGAACATCGTATCCAGATATTGCGGATAGGATTTATGATGTTGTGGGCCACTGCTCAGAAGCGGGGTTGGAATGTCTGCAACGAGCGTTGCGTCGAGGAGTGCTGCATGACTATTTACTTGTCTTTGATCTATGGTGGTGCTACGCCGGCAGGAGCCCTCACGGGCATCCAACCTCGCGAGCTCTACGACTTTGAGAACCCTGGCTTGACGGCGCAGTTCGGCATCCTCGAGTTTTCCTGACGCCGTCGAGACGTCACTGTGGCTAAGCATGGCCGCCAAGGAAGCCATCAACGCCACGATCATTGAGGGCAGGACTGCCAAGGCTCACAACGCTCGAGTTCATCAACATACTGCAGAAGACGCGGCGAAACTTGTGGACGGCGCCACAATCGACATATGGCAGGAACCAGATTCAACATATGATCCGGGATGGAGAGGACCAGCAGACCTTATCAAGAACTGCACGCCTGAGAACAAAGCTATTGTTTCTTGGCGCGGATACCCCATGCTGGTCCCACTTCGCCATATTAGACCTCGAGGGTTTCACCTGGCTATTTCATCATGGCGTGGATCGGAACGCCTACAACACTACGCATGAGATTTCCAGACTGGTGTTTGAGCTGATGAGCTGCGTCGGGCAGCTTGTTCCACATACTCCGTTCAGATTCGGCAAGTTCTGCGCCGAGTCTCAGGGTCAGTACATGATTGTTCCTCCAGATCTTGATGACAACGAGCCGAGGATCTATGCGTTGCCAAGACGGTGGCCCTACATACGTTTTCTGATAATGACATTGGTGGCATTGGTCGGCACGCAGTGCGAGCGAGCCAACGCAGTTCCTTCGGCTCGCAGAGGTATCCTTGTCCTGTGGCATCGGAGTTTCAGATTCGGCGATGTGGTCAAGGAGCTGCTCGTTGGCGCCAACATCACCATGGCCTCCCATGGACCTCGGCAAGACTCAGCATATGAGCTCTTCTACTTCTTCCAGTCCAAGGACGAGTCCATCTCATCATTCGAGCACGATCCTGGACCCTGGGAACAAGATGATGTGGCAGCCCTCTCCGTGGCCTTTCGGGTCGTAGGAAGATGGGGCGCCTTCGACGACGCCGCCAGCATCTGACTGCCCGACGCCTCCTACTTGGCAGGCACCGCGGCCGCGGGCACCACAACGAGTACCTCCTCAACCTCCCGCAGTAGCTGACGCAACCATGTCTCATGAGAGCCCAATGTCACTGCAAGCACCGCCGGCACCTCCAGCTCCGGCGGCGCCTCCAGCGCCACCTGCAGCACCTTTGGTCATTGCAGCAGCTCCGAGTACACGGTAGCCTCCAGCAACGCCGCCTCAGCAGCCTCGTTTCATGCGGACTCCAGAACCAATGCCTGGTCAAGCTCCGCCTCCAACGGCTCCGCCATCACCGCCAGCAGTACCGACAACGTCCAGACCACATGCACCTGCAGTACCACGTCACCCAGCTATTTCGCAGAATCCGACACCAGCTCCAGCGCCAACGGACGAGGAGATGGTAGACCCTGCAGCAGTGGGGAGTCCAGGAAGCCTGGACAGATCACGATCTCGACTGCTACGTTTTTCTGATGATCTTGCTCACGGGCCTCTACCTCTCATTCTTCCAGGAGCAATACATCGGCCGACACCGCTGCCGGCTCCAGACGCGCCCTCCTCGCCACACACTGCATCTGTACCACCTATGGCACCTCCAGCTGCTACGGTGCCGATGCCTACGCCATTAGCGCCGACGGCACCGACGACTCCGGCATCATCGTCATTCCCGAGTGCGACCTCGAGTGCTCCTTCAGCACCAGAGGTGCCAGCAGCAGTTCCTCAAGCCTCGACTGGGAAACGACTGGATAGTTCGGCGGTTTCATCTCCTCCAGATCAACAGGTACCTCGAGTGGATCCTTCGGGCCCACCTGGGCCCATCTTACCGATCACAGAGCAGCAGCAGAGCTCAGGGGGAGCATTATCAGCAGCAAGTCCTCCATCAACAATACAGGACCTGGATAAGACAGTGGGGTATCCAGCCGGAGATCCTGATCAGACCATCGAGTATCCAGCCGAATATCCTGATCAGACAATTGAATATCCATTGGAAGATCCTGATAAGAAAGTCGAGTATCCAGCGGAGGATCCTGACACGACGATCGAGAATCTGGCTGAAGACGTCGACCCCACCAAGATCACCCATTGCACGGCGAACGACTTTGTCAGTCCTTTCCCTACTTGGTGGACAGCGTCAGCCTTTCACGCTCGACAGGATCCTGGCTACACGGACGACTACACGGTTGACGACATGTCCAACGCTATTCATGACGCAGAGTTACTCTTGCATCAAACACGGATGGAAGAACGTGGACATCTGCCCTGGCAGGAGACCGAGTCCTTTGTTGTATCAGGACCGTTTCAGACATCACGGTGCTTTTCATACGATCCGAAGGCTGACGAGTGTTCCAGCGTATCCAGTGACGAGATCCTGGCACCTGACGAAGTCATACTCAATTGGCCAGCAGTTGAAGCAGCTGATCGTAAAGAGGTCACAAATTTCGTGCAGCATGGCATTTTCAAGCTAGCTCCGACCTCGGCCTATGACAACACCGTTGATGGCACCTGGGTTCGGAAATGGGCAGATCGGTCAAAAGGCATTGTGAAGAGTCGCCGTTGTGGCAGAGAACTCCTGGACAGACAGAAAAACAGCATCGACCGGCACAGCAGCGCGGCCTCGCGCCTATCTCATCGGATGGCAGTCTCCCTTGGTGTTCAGTATAACCTCGTGATCGAGAGTCTGGACATCAGTGCGGCTGTCTTGCTGGGCCTCAAGTTTTCGGAAGTGGTCAAGCGTGCAGCAGAACTCGGACATGAAATAAAATATTTTAGACGAGTTTAGTACAGGCCACCTCCGAATGTATGGAGACACCTGCGTGAGATCGAGGGCAACAACATTTAAGTCAAGGATTGCGACACCGGCTACTTCGTGCTTGAACTTCCCCAAGCTATGTGTGGACTGGTCGATGGCCCAATACTATGGCAGCTTGCTCTTGCACGCTTCATGGTGAAAGAATTGAAATTCTTGAGGACCTATCACGGTGATAAGCTTTCTTCCTTACCATGGGCTGTGAAGTTGTGGCGATTTGCATCACTCATGTCGGTGACATTCTGGCGATCGCCTCACATACTTTTCTTGATGCAACCTATGTGCCGCACGATTCGGTAAAGCCAAACGTTGCACAGTTCCGCTGATATATGTTGGAGTACGGCATCAGCTCCTGGCCCCTGGGCGTTTGCTACTCGACCGAGAACACTACCTGATGAAGCTGAAACCCGTAAGCGTCTCAGATCCGAGGCACTTGTGGCAGGACGCCCTTGCACTCGATAAAGAAGAATCATGGTGTTCGTTCCCTCTTGTGCAGTCTCCTGTGGCTATGCTTAGCTCGTGTGGATCTGTGTCATGGGGTTGTGGCATTGCGGGCAGACATGTTCAAGCCTGCGATTCTACTTGAAACAGTGTAACCAGCTCTTGGCCCGTGCTGTGATGACGAGAACCTTGAATGGCCTTCATCATCACAAGCTGCACGCTCCTCTTCATCTGGTCTCAACTACCGACGCTAAGCATGCTTCCAAGAGGTCACGTTACCCTTACGAGGGCAGGATGGTGCAACTCATGGGTGAACCCAAGACGGACTATGACGCTCAAGACTGGTGGCCGGTGACATCGACAAAATATGTTGCAGGGTATGGGCACCTCTTGTACTTCACCGCGCGCAGAGCAGCCAGAGTGAGTCACAGCACGTCTCACGCCGAAACGAACGCATTCGTCGGAGGTCCCCAAGTGGCACAGTTGATCTCATCGCAAATGACGGAGTTGTTCAGTCAAGCGATCATTGGAAGTGCAGCTGAACCTCGAAACCTCCTAGACATGGAAGAACATGATGTGCTGATCATTCCGTGCGACGGCGTTACGGATTTTATGGACTTCGTTGAGCTCATATCTGGTGGACGCGGGCTGACGATAGACAAGACCCAGAGGATCTCCACCATGTCTATACGCGAGGACCGTTTGACAGGGAGATTTCGCAGTATCCCACATGTACTAACTGCGAGTATGCTGTCCGACGGCATGACGAAGCTGGGAGTGTTTCCAAACTGCTTAAGATGCTGATGCCTCAAGATGAGAAGAACATTGTAGACAAAAACCAACGTGGTTTGGCAAGATTATACGGAACACGATCCACGAGATGAGAGGGGCTGCCACTATGACGAGTGGCAAGGACATGGTGAGGATGATTACAACACCGACTACGAGTACCAGACCAGCTACATCTACGAGTGGCAGAACTGGCCATCGATCGGACGTCCATTCCCTGTGCTTTTTTCGGTTTCGTGCGTGGTGTTTTCGCACAATGATTAAGGATGCTCCTCGATGGTCTCCGCCGAGGAAAAAAAAACGCACACGTCCGAGCGATGCCAAGAAAACAACTACAACCACGAGACCATCAGGACGAACGGCAGCGAACCATCCACGGCGCCCTGTGCAAGCACACACGCGCGAGGATCTGTCGTGGAACAGTTTCTGCGGCGTCACCCCCGGCTGAGGCTGGGATCTCCCCACGATCCGCACCTCTCTAACTCTAAGAAGCCAAGTGGACGAGAAGCAGTATTGCCTCTCTTCGAACTGTGAGGTGTGAGCTGGGTTTCGGAGATTGCGGATCTATGTTTGATCCTTCGACCAGGGCTCAAGTCGAGAAACCAACTGGAGGAAGGAGGGAGGAGGACGGAGGGCAGAGGGAGGAGGGAGGAGGGCGGAGTGAGGGGGAGAGGGAGGGAGGGAGGGGGGGAGGGAGGGAGGGAGGGAGGAAGCGAGGGAAGGAGGGAGGAGGAGGAGGAGGAGGAGGAGGAGGAGCAGGCGGAAGAGGAGGAGGAGGACGAGGAGGAGGAGGATGAGGAGGAGAAGGAGGAAGAGGAGGAGGAGGAGCAAGAGGAGGAGAGATGGGGGATGAGGAGGGGGAGGAGGATGAGGAGGGGGAGGAGGAGGAGGAGGACGAGGAGACGGAGGAGGAGGAGGAGAAGGAGGGAGAGCGGCGGAGCCCCCTTAGGGCTGGTCATCGACGATGCATCGACAACGTCGGCGATGCATCGGCGACGACGGCGTGGAGAGCATCGGATTCCACCTCGAGCCGCATCGTCGATGCATCGGCGATGCAGCGCGATCCTCCGACCCCATCTGAGATCCTGATATCTGGCGGCTCTGGAGAGTGTCTCGGGCGCCACGGCCTTCCCAGAGCGTTCCGCAATGCTCTGAGAGCGTTCTGGAACGCCCTGGCACGGACTTGTCCTTGTCCCAACCCCCTCCGACCATGGGCGCCGTGGGATGCGGAGGACCTCCGACGCCCGAGCTCGGGCGCGCCCCCAGGCACTCAGGGAAACGGGACGCGGTAGCTCTGATAATCGCGCCGCATCGCCGATACATCGGCGATGCATGGGCGACGTCGGCGATGCATCGACATAATGAGGATGCGCAGTAAGGATGCAAGGACCTTGGAAGGCCGTTTCGAAGCTCTTCGAGCGGGGCGCGGCCAACGAAAGTGGCCAAGACCGGGCCGAGGAGGCAAGACTGCAAGGGTACACTTGGGAACATGGCCCATCCTTGCCATGCGAGTTGCTTATACTCGGACCCCATCTGGGAGGCCTAGAGTGTTGTCCACGTCGCTGGCCCCTAAAGCTCTCGACCCACTCCCCCAAAGCTGGCTTCTCGTCTCGAGCCCTTGCCCGACAGGCCTGAGGCACGGAGACGGCCTCTGGACCGCTGTGGACGCACAAGGCTGCAAAAACCTTTGGCCCGACTTTCTGGAAGGACGCCACAGATCTGGGCCCTCCCTGCCATACTCGACCCCTGGACTTCTCCCAGGGTGCATCCGAGGTAGGATTTCGAGGCGGACCTGGCCGTAGCCACGACGGCGCCCTAGGAGCCCCAAGACTAAAGACGGTCCTGGTGCGTCCAAGAACCTCTGACCCCCCCGTCGTCGTCGTCGTCGTCGTCGTCGTCGTCGTCGTCGTCGTCGTCGTCGTCGTCGTCGTCGTCGTCGTCGTCGTCGTCGTCGTCGTCGTGGTGGTCGTCGTCGTCGTCGTCGTCGTCGTTCTCGCCCTCCTCCCTTTCCTCCTCCCTCCTCCCTCCTCCCTCCTCCTCCTCCTCCTCCTCCTCCTCCTTCTCCTTTTCCCTCCTCCTCCTCCTCCTCCTCCTCCTCTCCCCTCCTCTTCCTTCCTCCTCCCCCCTCCCTTCCCAGTGAGCGTCCTCGGCGCCGCGGCGAGGGGGGGGGGGGTCGGAGCCGTGGGAGGCTTTCTGCTCGCCCGCCGCCGTCTCGCAGACCCGCTGCACGAGCCCGGCGTGCTGGTACCTCGCAGCGGCCGCGGCCCACAGCACGCTCGAGAGCCCGTGCGCGCCGAAGCTCCCCAGCCGCTCCTCGCGGAGGCGGCAAGGGGGGGCAAGGGGGGCGAGGAGGCCTCGAGGGCGCGCAGAGGCGGTCCTCGAGGAGGAGGAGGAGGAGGAGGAGGAGGAGGAGGAGGAGGAGGAGGGAGGAGGAGGAGGGAGGAGGAGGGAGGAGGAGGGAGGAGGAGGACCAGTGCAAAACCAAGACTCACCCACGATGTTGCAACAAACGCTCCCTCCAAAGTTCTCGCTCGACGGGCCCCTACCAAAGCGCACATTCGTTGCGGTGGGGCCCCACCGAGGCCTCATTCTCGCAGGGCGTCCGGGAGCGCCTCGAGTGGTCGTGCGGGACGGGATCTGTCCACAGTCACCGCCCGAGGGATGGATCTCTTCTGGGGCCTGGGTATGCGTACGCGTCGTTCATTTCTAATCGTGCTCGTTTCTAAGTGTGCTCGTTTCTCACTGTTCCTGGCCCCCTAGTGGCCAGGAAGAGGCCCAGGATAGAACAGTTAGAAATGAAAGGATCTTGGCCCCCCAAAAAATCAAAGAACTTTCGAATAATCAGAAATGAACAATGTGTAGGGTATGGCTACGTGGCGCCGCGCACAATTGCGGATCCGCCGCCGTGCCCCCCCGGGCACGTCGAGGCGTGCTGGACTGCCGAATGCTGCCTGCTGGGCTCTCTGCAGGCTTCCAGGGACCACCCTCCTCCAGCTCGTCCTCCTCCTCCTCCTCCTCCTCCTGCTCCTCCTCCTCCTCCTCCTCCTGCTCCGCCTCCTCCTCCTCTTCCTCCTCCTCGTATTCCTCCTTCTCCTCCACTCCCTCCTCCTCGTCATGCATCGCCCACTCTTCTCGAGTCCACAACCCCATTCGCAAGATACGACCGCGTCGCGCTCCGGGCGGGGGCCACGATGCCTCCCAGGCGGCCTCGTACTGCTCCAGCAGGACCCACTTCGACCTCAAGACGGCCCAAGATGGCCTCAAGACGGCCCACAAGGCCTTCGAGACGTCCCACGAGAGCCTCAAGAGCCTTCCCATGAGGGACTCGAGAGGGAAGCGAATCCCGAGGCCGAACGTCGAGGAACTGCCGTCCGTTACGATTGTTGTTCCAACCCTCCCTGATTGGGTATTCGTTTTGCATAGAGCACTGCTCGCGCGTCCTGCCTTCCTCCCTCCCGCCTCCCTCTTATCTCCTATTGCCTTGTGCGTACCTCTTGTGTGTGCATCTTGCCTGCGGTACCTCTTGTGTGTGCATCTTGCCTGGGGGGCTGCGATCTGCGAAACTGTCGCACTTTCGAGGGCTGCTTGGGGGGCCAGCATAGTGGGTGGTAGCCGCCGCAGATCCACGTTAGACCTCGTCATCCCTGGGGGGGCTGCGATTTGCGAAACTGTCGCCACTTTCGAGGGCTGCTTGGGGGGGCAGCATAGTGGGTGGTAGCCACCGCAGATCCACGTTAGATCTCGTCATCCCTGGGGGGGCTGCGATTTGCGAAACTGTCGCCACTTTCGAGGGCTGCTTGGGGGGGCAGCATAGTGGGTGGTAGCCGCCGCAGATCCACGTTAGATCTCGTCATCCCTGGGGGGGCTGCGATTTGCGAAACTGTCGCCACTTTCGAAAGCTGCTAGGGGGGCAGCACAGCGATCTGCGAAACTGTCACCATTTTCGCAGGCTGCTGCTGGGCCCAGCGGAGAGAGGCACTGCGCAGATTTGAGCGAGACCTCGCCGTCCCTGGGGCTGCGATCTGCGAAACCGTCGCCGCTTTCAAGGGCTGCTGGCGGGTCCAGTGGAATGGGGCACCGCGCAGATCTTAGCGGGACCTCGCCGTCCTTGGGGGGCTGTGATCTGCGAAACCGTCGCTACTTTCGAAGGCTGGTGGTGGGTCCAGCGGTGTGAGGCACCACGCAGATCTGAGCGGGACCTCGCAATCCCTGGGGGGCTGCGAGCCTCACGAATGCCGCTCGCCGAAGTAGATGCGTCCATGTCACGTCATCACCTCC